AAACCTAAAGAAATATACCTTTGGTACCAGTGCAGGAGGGCAACAACCACTTTCAGCTTCTTTAATTTTTATTTTTCTTCTGCATTTTTAAGTAATGTGCAAATAAATGGCTATCTTATGATTCCCAAACTTACATCTTATTGATTGACTTTTTATTGCTTCAGATGAAGGTTAAACTTTCTTAAAACCCCAAAATTCTTTTTTTTTTTTTTTTTTTTTAGCTGAGCCATCCTGTCACCTGTTGCCACTCAGCAGCAGCTCAGCTCGGGCCGGGACTCGAACCGGCGACCCTGTTGCTCAGTGCTCGCACTCTTGAGCAATCTCTTAACCAACTGAGCCACTTGGCTAGCCCCAAAACCCCAAAATTCTTTATTCTAAGTCTTCCATTGAAGCTATATCTCCATTTGGTTTAAATCGACATCCAGGTTTTTAATTATTAAGACTATACATATAGTGTTTACTGCTGAATTTGGTTATATGATATAATTATATGCCAATTATTTAGAACTTCTGGGGTTGTTTTGTTTTTTTGTTTGTTTGTTTTTTAATTAATTAGTGCTTCATTTATGTTCTTTTTTGCCCAGTTCCTCTTTTTTTTTTAATTGGGGAACAGCGACGGTCATTGGTTACACATTGGGTTCATGCTACAGTGGCATAATTGATTTTTAGGGAGGGCGCAGCTCATAGTGGCCCATGTGGGGATTGAACCGGCCACCTTGGTGTCATCAGCACCACGCTGTAACCAACTGAGCTAACCAGTCACCCCTGTCAGGTTCCTCTTCCTCCCCCACCCAGCTCCCTTTTTCATTCCCTTCCTCCTTTTCTGTCTTCCTTTCTATTTTTGATAAGTCTTCCCCAAAGGTCCAAAATCTTTATAAAATGCTTCTCTATTCAACTTTCTATACTGTCAAGCTGGTCAAATAATTTAACTTTTTTTTCCCCATTTTTGTTCTAATATATTTTCCCTTGAAGAAATTTCTTCCTGGGAACTTCTACTTTTATTCTATTTGGTCACTCTCTAAAGCATCCTATAAAAAAGATGTAATTCAAGGATTTTTTTTTTTTGGCTGTCATCCTAGAAATTTGTTTTTCCATTTTATGATGTTATAGCCTCTTCCTTCTACAAATTATGTTCTCCTTTTGCTTGATTTTGTTTCTTTTTTGCTGAAGTGCATGTTCTGGTAATGTTTTGAGAAAGGTTCTACAGATGATAAATATTTTACCAGCTTATATGTTGAGAAATGTTGTTATTCTTCTTGATACTTGATTGAATCTTTGGAATAGAATTATAGATTTAAAATAATTTTCACTCAGAATTTTTAAAACATCCCATTACTTCCAATGTCACTGTTGAGAAGACCAGTGTCATTTTGATCCTGATCTTTTGTATATTACCTACTTTTCTCACTAATAAGCTTTTGAAATCTTCTCTTTATTTAGGGTGTTATAGACATATCAGAATATGGCTTAGTGTGGGTCTTTACCACCTGCCTTGAGGCACTTGATGGATCCTTTCAATTTGGAGACTCATTGTCATCTATGAGAAATTTCCTTGTATTATACCCTTCATAATGTCTTTACCAGCATTTTTTCTAATCTTTATTTCTTGAATTACCATTTGGAAGCATTGGATTATCTCCATCGACCATCTTCTTTTCAAAAGTCTTTTTTCTCCATTATTTATGTGTTTGTCTTTTTTAGTTTACCCTTCATTATCTTTTATCACTTTTACTTATTTTTAGTTTGGGTTCTCATATGTTAAAATTTTAATTATCTTTTTTTGCTTTTCTCTCTCTCTCTCTCTCTCTCTCTCTCTCTCTCTCTCTCTCTCAACTGTGTTCTGCCTTGTGTCACCATGGCATTATCTCTTCTCATATTTAGGGACATTATTATTTCTTTGAAATTTTCTTCTGCTCACTCATATTCTCTATTTCTCTGAGTTTCTTCATTTTTTTTTTCACTTATTTTATTTTCTATTTTTTCCTTGATGGATTCCCAGTGATGATTCTTAACTTTCCAACCATATTTCTGAAGAAAACACTAACACCTAATTAAAAACTTCTGTGTGCAGAAGTGATGCTTGTCAACAGGTAGACTTCACTTTTGATCCATTGGGTTGGCAGTTATTTTTTTGGGGGTGGACATAGCACATTAACATCTGTATCTGAGATTATTTTTCTCTGGGCAATTACTTACTCAGTAGGAAAGTTCTTAATCTTCTGTTTGGGTATATACACATCCTGGGCCTTAGCTAGGGAAGGTGGGGTTATTATAGTTCTCTGTGTATATAGACTTTCACGTAACATTTTAATGTTTTGTATCATGTCCCTTTTCTGCCTTTTGTCTTATTGGGGTAATTCTGGCTCAGTTTCTCCAGGTACCATATCTTTCCTTTAGGGGTAAGAAGAATTAGTCCCTTGACTCCTTTGTAGTGGATGTATGATCACAGATAGGTGTTCAATGGCTCCTCTTACCATCTCTCAAGCACCCTCTCTGTTTTCAACTCCTGGCCTCAACCCTACCTTTGACAATACCTGGATGTTCTAATGCCTGAGCTTTCCTTGGATATTACTATATGAGTGTGCTTATTTATTTTTAATTAGTACCTCCTATTTATATTTCATTTGTCTTTCTTCTACTCTGCCAAGTCAAATGCCGTTAATATACCTACTTTCTGCCTTTATGTATTGTGGGTTAGAGTTATACAGTTCTTTTAGTTTTATAAAATATTTGGCTTTGTGTGGTAAGCATATAATGGCTCCCCAAAATTTGTTCGCATCCTCATTCCCAGAACCTGTGATGGTTACCTTTTCCAAAGGGGTCTTTGTAGATGTAATTAAATTAAGGATTTTAAGATGAGGAGATTACCCTAGATTAACTAGGTGGGCTGTAAGTGCCATCACAAGTGTCCTTATAAGAGGGAGGCAAAAAGATTTGACACACACAGAGGAGGCAGTGAAATAAAGATGGAGGCAGAGATTAGAATGATGTGACTACAAGCCAGGCAATGCCAAGAAATACAAAGGCCACCAGAAGCTAGAAGAATCAAGGAGTAGATTCTTCCACAAAGCCTCCAGAGAGAGTACAACCCTGCCAAAAAACTTGATTTCAGCCCAGTGAAATTTATATTGAACTTCTGGCCTCCAGAACTGTAACAAAACAATTTTCTGTTGTTTTAAGCCACCAAGTTTGTAGGAATTTGTTACAGCAGGAACAGAAAGCAAACAGTACATATTAGAGTTTCTTTGTTCTACTTCTTGCTTTGTGATAATTTTTTAAAGGAAAAGGAGATAGAAAAGCATTTATTTCACCTTCTTGAAACTGGAATCCTTTCATTCTTTGACTTAGGATAGTTTTATTTCTCATAACTTTATCTCTACCATAAAGAATATGCCCACTTCCAGAAATATTATAGCTTTCCCAGATATGGAATTTTAACAGTGTATTCATTTATTCCTCTCCTCTTATTATATAGTGTCTTTTGTTGAAGACTGCTTTCCCTCTCTTCCTTCTCCTCTCCTCTCTTCTCCTTTTCCTATAATCTATTGATTATCTACTTAGTGTTAGCCATTGTGGTTAGCTTTGGAAATATAGTAACCAATAAAGCAATTTTATTGCCCTACATGATCTCACCATCTTAGTAGAGAAAAGGAACAAAAATAACATTCTTTTCAGTGTAAGACAAAAACTCAGTAAGACAAAAATTAACAACTAAAATATGATACTGTGTGCACTAAATTAGATGTATGACCAAAATGCTGTGGTCTCAGAAAACATATATTGAATAGCTCTGACAGAGACTGAGAGGATTTATGAAGTAGTACTTAATCAGGGCCTTAGGGGGTGAACTGCAGTTTTATGAAAAAAATAAATAGGGAAAAGTCATTTTATGGAAAGGAACTGCCTCCACAGAAAGCACACATATGACAAAGCATGGATTGCTTTGGTGTGGCCAGATATTTAATATGCCTGGAGCATAGATTAAGAGTGGGGGAGTATAAAGTCATGGGATAATAAAGGTTTGAGTCAGATTATGATGAACATTTTTTGCTGTATTAAAGAGTTTAGATTTTTATTATTTTGGAAATGGGGGGAAATAGGCTCTAAGTAGGAAATGACACAGTCCATTAGTAAGAAAACGCTGCTAGCATTTTGATTATCACACTGATGTAGAGTAGCTGAGAGATCACTTAGGGTCTCCTCTAAGAGACCAGATGAGCAGTAGATGACAGTGACCTGAGTCAAACCAGAGGTAATGGGACAAAGATAAGAGAATGGAATGAAGAGATAATTATGAAACAAAATTCCAGCACAGTGATGGAATTTCTACCATTAAGTGGAAGTACAAAGTACAATGCTAGCAGTAACAGGGTACAATTGGACACTGGGGAGCGGTCTGGGAAAGGACAGAGGAGAGGACACCTAAGCTGAGCTTTAAAAAACAGAAGGAACAAGTTATTTGAAAGAGAAGAGGAGCAGTGAATCAGGTTGTGACAGCAAGGTTCTCCAAACACCAGAGACAATCTGAGAAAAAGCATTAATGTGAGAACCAGAGTGGCTGCTTGATCAGCTCTCAGTGGCATGCAATTGACGGTGTAGAAAGTCTAGTGGGATGTGAGGTATGAAGGAACCAGCCAATGGAAATCTCCGGTTAATCTCCCTTTCTTCCCCTAAATGTTCATTTTTACATTTCTACCAATTTTTATGCCTGGAACAGTCTTTTGCCCACTGCTCATATTTTGATCCTTTTAAAATATACTCAGAACTTCTGTCAGGAAAGCCATCCCAATTTCCTGTTCCTTGGAGACATTTGCATAGGTTTCCATTCAATAAAAATTTATATCCAACTGTTTTATCCATTTGTAATACATTGTTTATTCATTCAACACACATTTTGCCAATATAAAGGAACAGCCAAGACACTGTCTATGGTTTCCACTAGAATGCAAGCACAATAGTTTGTTCTCTGGTTTGACAAGCCTTAATAAAAAGAGAGACAACACCCATCACAAGTCTTCATAGTTCTCTGCACATACAAGTATTCTGCAACATTGGACTTTCTTCTTGAGCTTCATTTTCTGAAAGGAAAGGGAGCAAGAAAAGAATAAACGTTTTAATGGGTAATCTGTATGATATATCCCAAAGTGCTTTAGCTCAGATATTTCCATGACTTTTTGAGTACACGCCATAATTAAAATCCATTTCCTTTCCTTAAAAGCCTTAAAGTTAATTAATTTAACTATGGATTGGGGACAAAATGACAAAAAGGGCAACAATTGCCCAACCTGATTAAATAGCAGTTAGAGTTTGAAAAACAGCTCTTTATTGAAAATTTTAGAACTGGAATCACAGAACTTTATCTGCCTCTGTGTTCAATAGTCCATCATACCCTCTTCTAATTGGAGGTTTAGGTCTGGTGATTGGGATATAGGTTCAAAGAGCTCCGGAAAGTAGTATTTTGCCTAAGGCTAATTCTTTAGGATTACCTAGCTCAATAGTCTACATTTTAATAACAGCATGGACAACCAGAGTTTCCAGTACAGTGTAAACAAGGGGTTTAGAGACATTGGTTTCAGAGTATTAACTTGATTCAGCACTCCTGATTCTGGCAGCTTTGCCTTTCTTGGCAATACCCTCTGGCCTTGAATTTCCCCTGAATGGTCCCAAATATCCTAATCTAAAGCTTGATAATAGTTGTAAAAGGTAAACATAATCTTCATGTTTTATGTTTGTAAGTTTCCAGACACAGTATGTCACCCACATTAGAATTAGTGTCTTGGTACTGTGGGGATTTTTAGCACCAAAATCTTCGAGGAGATATTTGGAACCAAGGAGGGCTAAAGGGAAAGACAACTTTTGGTAGGCTGATCTTTCCACGTTCCTCAAGCTATAGCATGTAGCATGTTCTTCAATACCTGCCCTGAAAAGCCCTAGTTTATCTCAGAGACCGTCCTCCACAAGTGACAAGCAAATCTTGGTTCTTGTTCTTGTCGGGCTTCTGCCACCTATGTGAGCCTTAGTGTGCTATAGCACATCTGCCTAGTACCTCTAATTTCTTTCCCTTGATTGAACTTGTTACTACACTATCTTCCTAGGTCTGGGATCGAGGCAGAGTTAGCTGCCAATAGCTAAAGCAGTGACTTCACTGGAAGGAATCTACTGATGATGAGGGTGCATGGGGATTGCTCAGTATCCTGTGTCTGATCAAAGACAACCCTGACAGAAGGACCCCTGTTTAGCTCTGGCCTCACAGAAGATCCTCTCCTGAGGAGCTCAAAACTTGCCCCTATATAGACAGTTTCCCGTAGAATCAGACTTCAGCATGTAGCTTTCACTATGCAAGACACACTATCCAGTCCAATTCATCCCAATTTGTAATTTTTCTCCATTCCCCTGTAATTTATGACTTTCTTTATTTTCTTTGGTCTGAATCAAACTTATGCTTTTCAACTACTGGAGCTCTCCAAACCCCATCCGCTATCTTCAGTTCAATTAGGCTTCATTCTGTAGTCTTTCCTGAATTCTCTGCTTATATCAATATAGCAACACATTTCAGAACCGTCTACACACATGCTTTTCATATGGCCTCTTCCCGTCATGCTTTGCTAACTCCTATTCTTACCATTGATTTATTTTTTCACCTTATGCTTTCATTCTCTTTCAATCTCTCTCTCTCCCTTTTTTGTATTTTTTATCTCCATATTTTTCTTTCTTTTCTTGTGTTATTGTTTTTGGGGTTTGTTGTTTTTTTTTTGTTTGTTTGTTTGTTTGTTTGTTTTTTGCTTTAACAAGGTCTTTAAATGACAGCACTCAGACTGTATTCTTTATATAGTGAAACAACAAAAGTTGTCCATCTGGGTGCTTTTGGCCAACCTGGACTCTTGTTCAGTGTGAGATTTTGCTTTTATAATACTTTGCTCAACTTTCACTTTTCATTAGTGACTCATTCTTTTAGACTTCTGTTTTCTTTCTTTTTCCCTCTTTCACCTCCCTCCCTTCCTTCCTTCCTTCCTTCCTTCCTTCCTTCCTTCCTTCCTTCCTTCCTTCCTTCCTTCCTTCCTCCCTTCACTTTCTTTATTTTAAACAACCTCACTCAACTCCCTACTTGCTCACCAATTTGCTATACATATCCTAAATTACAGTAAGATAATTTCTCACTTTTCTGCTGCTGTCCCCATCTTCTGGGACCCATATAGACACGGAGAGTCTCAGACATGAGTCTGGGGTGATCTAATTAAAGGTCAAAGTAATAAATGCTGTGGAAGGGTGTTTGTCACTGAGTGAAAGAGATGACTCTTGCCATATGCTCTCAATGGAGAAAACAAAGACTATATACATACATGAACATGATTTTTTACAGACTTTTAAATTTTTCCTCTAGATCTAAGTAACAGGGCAGAAGTAGTAAAATGGAAGAGAGGGGGAAATTTTCAATTAATTACAAAAGAATCATTCCAAGTACAGACTTCCTAGATTTCAGAGAATAAATAATCCAAAATAAGTTGAAAGCTTCTAGATTTGTGATAAAGAGAATGCTGGAATTTATAATACACATTAAGTTGGTAATGGTTACCTCTCCTTTTGTCTAATGAATATGTTTTCTTTTGTAAAAGGACTACAGTTAAATTATAAATATCTAGAAAGAAAATTCAAAAACAAAAACAATCCATGATTCTGCCATCCAGAGATGACAATTACTATCAATATTTTGATACCTGATCCTTTTATTATATTCAAAAATATCCATTTTACAAAACTGGAATACATGTTATTTGGAGTTTGTTTTACTTACCTAAAGTTCACATCTTTCACTTACCTAAAGTTGACAATTCATAACTTTTTAAAGTATTGATTTTAAATGGCTACATAATACTATATCATAATAATATATTCTTATTTTCAGTTTTGAATGTCAGTTATAAACAGTTTTGTACAAAACTGTTGATCTGTCTCACTGATGACTTTCTTACTAAAGAGTCTTTGACTTCTTTACAAAAGAATCTTTGACATGGTATGTCTTTGATATAATATTACTGAGAATTATGCCCCACCTCAGAACCTTTCCACTGGTAGGTTCCTCTCTGAAAGTGTTTTCTCATATATATTATGTTGGACTCCTACATTGCACTCAGATTTTTGCTCAAATGTTATCACACCAGAGAGACATTTCCCTGAGCACCTATATAAAATGGCACCTCCAAAATCATTCTTTATCCCGTTATCCTGCACTATGTTTCTTCTTAGTATTCAGTAGTACCTAATATGTTATTTGTTTACATGTGTATTGTTTACCTCCACCTCCTAGAATTTAAGGTAAATGACAGCAGAAATTCCATCTGGTTTGTTAAACACTTTATCCTCACTGCCTCCAACAGCACCTGGAACATAGTAAGTGATCGATAACTATTTGTTCTTTGAATTGATACATACATACAAAAATGCAAGAATTTTGGTATATATAATCTCGTTTCTTTCCAGAAAATTTGCTCAAGTTTATACACTCATAAACCTAAATAACCCACTTTGAATACTAATTTTAAAGTTGTCAAATAATAGGAAAAATGTATACTATAATCTCAATGTTGCTTTAGTTTCCTCTTTATTTTAAAATTTTCCCTTTGAATTACCTGTTCATCTTTTTTTTATTTTTTATTAAGGTGTTTGTTCCTTTAAAATAACATGTAAGAACTTATATGTATATGTATTGTGTGTGGAAATTTTGTATAGACATTTTCTCTTTTTCATAACATGCTTTTTCTTATGTTTTATGACATCTTAGATTAAAAAAAAATGTGTAGAACAAATATGTTAAGATTTCTTCCAGAGAGCTCACTTTCACTGTTCCTATATTTTTCCAACTTGTCTTTTTTTAAGATTGTCATCCATATCACTAGTACGATTTTTCAGAATGTCATTTCTTATCTTCACTTCATTTTTTTTTTCCTTCAGCCACTGTACTCTCTTTTCTTTTTGATAGTGTGTATTTCCATTTTGTTTTCCTGGGTTTCTTTTTTAGGTCTTTTCCTCTTTTTTGTATTATAGGGGTCATGACTTCATGAATTCTATTTAAAATGCCTGTTTTCACTTATTTTAATATATGATATATTCAGCTGTTGCTCTCTGTTTGATAATGTTCTTTCCCCACTTTCTCTGTCATATTTTCATATACTCCCTATTTTATATTTGTTTTCTATTTTCTTAACACTAAATTAACCTAAATCTTTCCAATATCATGTTTAGAAACAGATGACACCTGTTGTTTTCTTACCATCCACTTATTGCTGGTTAAAACCCATTCATACTGGTTAAATCCCCTTGCTGTCACTCTAGCTGGGTGACAGTTTGGTGTGCAGACCTCCCAGCTAGAGACTAGGCAGCATACATGGAGTCTAACTTTGCTCTCTAAAGTAAGGTGGTCTCCTATGTCTGAAACCTTGTTGTTTCACCAGCATGAAAAGCTACAGTTCCAATTATGAGCCTCTCTCCACCATCTTCCTACCTCTGCTACCACCTACATTGCTTTAAATACATTTAGGGGAATTTAATATGTCACATGCCAGTCCCTTCTCTCCCCTCCTATTTTCAGCTCTTAACACCAAAACAGGGAGACATGATGCTGTGAGGATACTACTCTATGTATCTCAAGTACCTTGTATTGATACCCAATGAAATCATGGCCATCCAGATTTTGGGTGGAACAGGTCCATGAAGCAGAATGTAGTTAATCAAGAAACACTGAAATACTTTCTTAACTTTCAAGTGGATAGGACTAGTCTGTCTACATGTATAGACCACCTGTTTTTTTTTTCCTAGCCTAACCTCATTAGCCCTCAAAGAATGGTCCCAAGATAGACTCTATTAAGCTTAGTTTCTTAGGATTGTTGTTAGTTATAGTTTCCTGTGTAGGTGGTTTAATACAAAGTTGGCTGAGGCCAACTTAGGATGGCAGACTGCTAATCAGATGTCTTAGAAAACTAGAAATTTGATAGTAATATTTTTCAAGCCTTTCATTATACTTCATCTCTTTCTCCATCTCAAAGTGATTACCTTCCAAAGCATTGCAGGTGAGTAGCGGAACATATATGGATGCAGAATGAAATTAGTGTAGGAAATGTCAATACCACATTATAAATAGGAAATTTGTTGTTATTATGTAATGCTTAGAAATTATGTCTATTGCTTCATATAGAAATATTGCATCCAATTATTTCGAATGACTTTTTAATTAATTAAAACACAATTTTAAATTATTTTTACATTAGTTATGTATTCTAAGTTAGAATTCCTAAATAAACATGCTAGGGTTTTTATGGTAAAATTATCTGAGCTATTAATATCTTTTTCAAATTAGATGAATTTAGCAAAATTATCTTCAAAGTTTCATTCACTCTCCATGACATCTAGCATAGTAGACGTTTTCCTCATAAAATGAAAATGAAAACTGAGTGGGGTAAAATTGACAAACTATTTTCAATGTCATCCTAGTAGCGATCTTTTCAATGTAAGCTACCACACTTTTGCAAAGGGGATTATCTTCATAACCTGTTTGTAATTCAGAAATGTCTGTGGTTGATAAACCCAACCGACCATAAAGAAAATACACTAGACTATGAAATCACGAAAGCTCTTTCAAATCCTGTGTATGTTTTATGTGGGTTATTAGTGACCTTGCACTTACCAGAAAGTCCTCTGTTTGGTGCATGCAGAAGCTCTGTGACAGTAAAGGCTGGATCCTACAGGTGTGTATGACTGTAGACTTCTCATGTATAAGGCCATTATACATTAATGTTGACTCTTGTGGCCCTGTTGACTCTTGGGAATTAGTTGTTAATTTTAAATGAGGAAAAAATAAAGCTTGTTCTTCACAACACATAAAAATGGAACATAGAATTACAGGGTAGCACTGAATCAGAGAATTTCTAAAGACTAGGTATCTCTCAAGGAGTAATTAGAATTCTTGATTTTCTACATATTTATTGGCTAAAACATCCAAAGTGCTTTTGAATGATGCCTGTTTTCAATATAGAAAATAAGCATGACTGAATCACTAAAAGCTACCAAATCATTATTATAATTATTTAACTTATGTTATTTTCAAAACTTATTTAGAGGCAATGTCAAATCAACCTCCTTTTCCAAACCTGTCAATGACCCCTATTGTATATTGGAAAAAGTCAACACCCCTAATTTCTGCACTAACCTCCACCCATAACTGATTTTAGCATTCTTATATTTTCTACTATTGTAGTTTTCAAAACTGATCCTGTCCACCAGATAGTATTATTTGGCCCTGTTTCTCTCACCTGTGTTATGCATTCTTGAATTTGGGTTGGTTTGTTTGTTTTAAGTCAGATGGTGCCTAATTTGAAGACAGCTCAAATGGTCAAGTAAAGGCTAATGAGATGGAAATGCTAAGATTAGCATCCATGTGAAATATTGCCATTTCTGTATAGTGTGGTGCCAGATTATTTTGTGGAATCATCAGGTAAATTGGGTGAGAACATATGGGTGTGGCAAATCCATCTTTGAGTGGTGCTGCATGGGGGAGGGTGTGATTATCTAACGTAATCACTTTAAGCATGCACTCCTTTACTGGGTTGTAGTATTCAAAAGAATAATTCAATTTGAAATAGAATTCCCTGATAAGTCTGTGTCACTTACTGACAAATAATGATGGTAGCTATGATTTTTAAAGTGTTTTTGAGGAATATGCAAATTTAATGTCAGAAGTTTAAATAAACCTGTAGTTTCAAAAGATTGCATTTCCCCTTAGTGTTTCTCTTATTTTCTGTTACTTTGAACTCTCATTTTTTTTATGTGTATTAAAGAGAGGAAACATTTGCCTGAAGTAGGGAACAAAAAGAAATTCTAATTAAAGTAGCAATGAGAATAAGAAATCATGACATTAAGATAGTATGTCATCTTGAAAGTGTTTAAAACAGCTCTCCCTATGCCCCCAAAGTGGTGTGATTTTGATTTCCTTAAGCATAGAGAACTTTATTTATAGCAGTTTAACTTTTCAGTTAGGTATAATAAGTTAGTACTTTTCTAAAACACTAAAACAAAACCTAAGAACCCAAGTGATTAAGAGATAGTTCTATGATATATTAGTTATTTTGCCATTTCTGTATTCCCAGCTTGAAATTTCATATAAAAAAAATGCTTCACTGCTTCGTTCTAAATCCTGTTTTATCCAACATGGAAAAAAAAATATATTGTTTGGAATTTCTTAATAGGAAAAAAAACAAAACATCTTTGACTGAATTATATAGTTGCTCCTGCCAGAGGAGACTTGGAATTTACCTTTGCTCAATTTCATGTCTGTAGCATATTTTCTATTAAAAATGTTTCTAGATTTTTAGTGTCTGCTTGGTTTGGGTTATCTAAGCTGTAATAAGTAGCCTTGGGACCCCTGAAGGCACACCCCACACACTTACGTTGTGTGACCTCGGGTCACAAGTAATGGCTGCCAGCTAATTGATTGAGAAAGGCTTGTCTGGCGGGGCCTCTCTGTGTCCTCCCTTTACATTCCTAAGTTCTGTGAAAGAGGCACTAGCTGCTGAGCCTAGCAAGGAAGGAAAAAAGAGAGGAAGTTTCTCTGTTCTGATTACACTCCGAATTCCCTTGTAGTGAGCTTACTTCTCTCCACCCACTTCTTACCAAGAACTCCTTAACTTGAAGGTGAACCTTCAAGCCTGATCCCAGAGAGTTACCCGAAAAGTGATCTGAGTAGTTATTGAACTGAAAGAACAAATTACCTACTTCAGGCGGTGGGGAAACGTATGGAAATTATATTAGAACTTCAGCAAAGTGCACAGCTGCATAACACAGAAGCCGGGACTCAGATTGACAGGCAAATAAGCCAGCTCGTGGAAGGGGCCTCTGGGTGGCAGCTCTGGGCTACTGGGTGATGGACAACTGTAGGCAAAACTGAAATGGAACAGGGGCAGAAAATAGCACACTTTTACTCTACGCAACCGTTGCTTTCGCCTGGTGAGTGCAGATTTAAGATTATTTAAAATATCCTCTCTATGTTGTAAAACAAGTAATCTCTTGTGCTCTGAGGGAAATTGTAGCAAGAACATTTCTTATAAGTTCTAGTAAGGCGATTTGCTTTTGTTTCTGCTTGATTTCACATTAAACTTGGCAATGCTAACAGAGAAATACAATATTTGTATTGTCTTGGTGTCCTTTTTCTTAAAATTGTCCTTTTGTTTAAGTCATGCTTCTCTTCAACCTGAATAAATATTGTTTTAGGCAAATCATGTGTGGAATAGATAATGAGGGAACAACGGTGTGACAGAATATATGTAAACATTTCATTTAGTCCAACTTTGTGTCACTTCTCCACGGCGTCATGTTTGCTGCCCTATATAGCACAGTCTGTATGAAAAGAGCTTTGTGTGAGAATTCCTGCGAGTTAAAGGGTCAGGGCCTATGCGTTATCTGACTCGCTGGGGTGTCTTCTTATTTTTAACCTAAAATAGGAAAAAAAAATGTGCATCTATCCATATTAAAAAGTATGTGTGTTTTGATTCCAACAGTTGCCTTCTTATAGTTTATGTGTGTTATTCCTGGCAAAGGATTGTTTAAATTTCTTTTGAGAAGCAGCATGCAAACTTCTTTTGTTTCTTTTTGTCTTGTTTGCTCGCATTTCACTGTTGAAACTTTGCACACATTTTTTTTTTTCCATTTAATTATCTTGAAACAATACTTGGTAGTTTTTTCAGTGCACCTATTACAGTGCAAATATCTTTAAAGTTAGTAGGCTTACTTTTTTGGGAAAAAAACTACCTCACAGTGTAAATTGTGCTTAATTCCTCTTTTAGCCATACTTATAATCTTATTTTAAATGTGCTGCTTGTTAAAAAAAAAAAAAATGTCGGAGTCTACAGGGAGTATTCATAGAAATGTTATAAGATTCTTCTTCAAGAACTGCAAATTCAGTATTACAGTGTTTAAGAAGTGCCATATATTATTGCTTTTGTTGACTTTGTTTAAAAAACTGTTTTCTTAGAATGGTGACTGCATTAGATATTACCAAATGAAAATCTATCTTCCATGCTGTTGATTTGATATAATATAGAGGTTTTCTGCATTGTTAATTGTGTTTCATATTCATTAAAACTTTTAAAAAAGCAGTTCTGTAATATAAATTTTGAATAATCATTAAAAAAATAAAATATACTAAAGTAAGTGCCTTATATTTTTAGATTTACAGCTTCTGTTTGCTAAAGCAAATTAATAAATGAAAAAATATACTGGAATAATAGTGAAACTTTAAACTTTACAATAAAGGAAGGAAAGCTTTTGAGGAAGAATAAATGTACTTTTGCTTATAAGGCAATTTTGAGGCATTACTTAGTTTTTCTTTTTCAAAGATTTATGGAAAACTACCAGCTGTTGTAAAACTAAGTAATAGCCTTGACTTTACTACAAAAACTATGTATAAGAAGGAAAATAATTTTTGAGCTATTCCTGTGATTTCACACAAGCCTCTTTCAACAATTGCAAAATGTGACTGACAAACCTTTTTCTAAGGGAATGAAGCGATTATGTTTGTCACCTGTTACATTCTGTTTTCTTTTTTTTGCCCACATGCACATTTCCTAGCTGTTTATTAGTGCTACAGGAAAATTAAAGCCTTTTTTCTTAGAGAAAATGTTGAAGTTTTCATTTGCATGAATCTTTTGAGGTTTTAAAATTATGTTCTCATCAAAATCGCCAAAGTGATTTTAATAGGTCTTGGTTATGAGCTTGATATGAATAGTTAAAAAAAAGATTTCTAGTGTTTATGTTTTTCTTTTAATATGCCTTACTAAATAAAGTTAAGGTATGCTGAGGATTTATGAAAGGCTTAGCCAACAGATCAGCCTTTTGAAAATATCTCCCTTTGATATCAAGATTGTAAAAAAAAAAAATGCTTATCCCTTACCTATTCCCTCCATACCAATCCAGAGGCCAGAAATTAAAGGAGCTTCATTATTTTTCTTGGTTGCAGTCTAACACAACTCAGGAAGTTACTGTGCTGTGAGGAGGGGCTGGAAAAGAATGGGGTTCCCTCTAAGGGAAAAACATAAACTGTGAAAAACAAAAGAAAAAAAGATCTACTATTTAATTTTCCTAACATTTAATCTTCAACTATCTTCAGTCTTTTCTGTTCATCTTTACTTATTGTTTGCTGAAGTGAAGGCACCTTTTAAAAACTGAAATCAACCTCAGCATTATTTTATAACCATGGTTTTAAGAAGGCACATATTTTTATATAAGTCTAATTTTCCACAGGAGTTGAAATTATGTATTAGATTATGAAACAATGAAAATATGTTCACAAATTAATATAGGGTTATCTCTTTTTTTATATCTAAAACATATTGGCAATCATTGTCCTTCCCTTATAATACTTTATTATAACAGGAGAGAGAGAGAGAGAGAGAGAGAGAGAGAGACAATGAATGTATGTGTGTGTGTGTGTGTGTGTGTGTGTGTGTGTGTGTGTGTTTACATTTATGAGTTCACAGAGAGGGTGATTGAGTGGCCTAGACATATGCGAGGTTTATGACACTGTTTGACTTACTTCCTTAATTCTCATGGTCACTAAATTTCCCATTTTTTCTGTACCCTTGTAGCAGTAGACATCTGTTGCAGTGAAATTATGCCTTCTCTATTGAGGAAAAATGTCATATTATCTGTATTCTTATTTAAATTACATTCATCAATTTGTTTTTAAAGATAATTTATCGAAATATATATATTTTGATTAGATCCTATTGTCTTTGACAAATTAGGGGTCCTCAAAAGGCTTTCCTAGAGAGTGGTAGTATGTTTTTCATTAATCTTCTTATAGGGAAAAGAGCACAGGCGTAGTGGTTGTTCATGTTTGTAGACACTGAGGAATCACATCTTCCTTAAATTATGGAAAACTCCAGTATTTTCTTTTTAAAGTCACTTATTTTACCATTAGCTTTCATTTGTTTTTATCTGGAACATCCTCGGAAGTGTCTGTTGTAGCTACACAATATATTATACATATTTCTTAAATTTTCTTTCACACTAATTTATGTATTTTTCTGTGCTTCATTTTTGGCTAATTACTCAGGAATATCTTACAATTTACTAAGTCTTGTTTTGACTATGTCCACTCCAGAATGTTTTTTGACTCACATTTTTTCCCTGGGAATTCTGATTCTTTTCTCATAGCCATTTTTGTTGTTTAATCTCTACTGATTTTCTTGTAAATTGTGCTGATGCTATTTCTTAATTTGTCTCTTTAGGAATACTAAATGCTTACTTGAAATTCTTAAATTGATCTATTTTCATGTCATTTGGTATGACTTCATTGCGTTTTTTAAAAATTTGTTGACAATTCATTTATTTATTTATCTATTTATCTATCTATCTATTTATTTATTTATTTATTTTCTTATTTATTTATTTATATGATTTCACATGTCTTGGAATTCTGGGTTTCAGGCTCAACTTGAGTGAAAAGGATTTAACCATTTTTTTCTCTCTCTCTCTTGGCTAGCCCTACCCCAGTGTTATAGTCATAGAGGTGGCCTTCATGTTCTGTAACAATAAGCTCATAATGTCTGGTAATGGGGATATCGTAGATCTAGTCTCCAAGTCAAACAACTGTTTGCCCCAGGTGCTGATCCCCAGATTATGGTGTTGCTCCTGGCCTGCCTATGTAAGCAGTTCTATGTATGGCTCCAAGTGGGTAGTCAGTTATTCAACTTCCTGTTATCTCAGATTTCAGTATGTGAACCTGACACTGATTTTCAGTCCCTGTGGGGCAAGTGTAGCACCCCAGTTACGTTACAGATATAGGCAATTGTTTGCCGCTCATTCTAGAAACCAGCAGTACACTGCAGCTCACTTCCTGTTTCTGTGTTATCACTGGTCCCCAGAAGTGCTTACTTTGTTTTTTATATCACTGTTACATTATCTTATTAAATAGTTTATGTATTATTCTTACATGTTGAGAGGCAAGAGGTTCAAACTACACTTTTGCAATGTCATCTTGAGAAGTGTTTTCCTAACCATGGGCTCTCAAAATAGAAAATATGGGTTCAAATTCCTACTCCTTTACTGCATTACCTTAGGCAATGTTTTTAACTACTTGAAAGTCTCCCTTTCTCTGTTATGGATGCTTATCTCCTAAGATTATTCTAAGCATTGAATGAGATAATGTATGGAAAACAGTTAGCCTTTGCTTAACCATATTAAGTGTGCAAATTCTGGGGGAGAAAAAACAACCAAAACCAAAACAAAACCAGGAGCTACCAATTATGTAATGAATAAATGGTAATAAAAGTATAAACTAGACTTTGTCTCTTGTATTCTGAGTGAATACAACATCATCATTTTTGATACCTAAGCCAGATTTCTAAAGATGAATGTCAAGTACACTACCTTTCATATCTAATAAATAGGTAGGTAGGTACTCTGTTACACTATCCACATAGCTTAGTAAGTATAAATGAATAATTCAGAGAATCTCAATATAAAATAAGGCAGTCTTCAAATGGCCTTTTTGATAAAGTTATTCTAAATTCATGAAGCTTAAGCAGCGTAGAAGAGAAACGTGACATGAAAATATGTTGTTCTTGTGTTTTGTTTTGTTTTTTTGATTGCCTTGGCTTGATTAACAGTGTGTATTTATATATTACAGTTTCACCCTTTGATGGGTTTCTGTAATAGTAATAAAAAGGGAGGAGGAAGGTCTTTTGTAAGGGTTTCAGATGGTCTTGTTTTATAGATAATTTGTAATATTAGTATTTATTCAATATTAGTATGTTTTAAAAAACATTTCGACCAGAAATTAAATTTACAGTATTGGCAGAGGGTATGTTTCACTAGGTGGGGAATTAAAATTTTGTGACATGAACAGTTTCTGAAAATTAAAATGTTTAAAAGGAGCTTAAGAAAGATGAAGATCAAGATGAAGTGTCAGCAGTAACTTAGAATTCACCTTAGAGTTTGAAAACAAA